TACGTACATTATCATCAGGACCGTAGCCAGTTAGGCCATTGGTGCACCCAATTCTTAACACTCGCACGCCATTTGTTTCTGTCCAGTGCCAGATGGTAACATTCCGCACCTTTGAGGTTGCTCCAATCCTTGATATCATTCTGTCATATCCACTCCGGCCTTCCCCGATTCCTGCTAACCTCACAATTTCCTTGCATAAAAGCCTTCGTCCATGCATCACGTCTGACTTGATGGCGAAAGAAAGTATGCTTCCTTCTTTGACCTAGTGGCGAAGCCAAAGGTCTTGCTTATCCTGCCGGGCAGGACCACAAATTTCAAAAGATAACAATTTTAAAAATATATTCACTTTATTAAATCATTATATGCCTGATTCAAAGGCATTTCTTGTCTTTTTCTACACTTATACTTCGTGGCTGTGCCTTTTTTCAATTTTGAGACACGGTGACTGGAATGAAATTTCGAGTATCCCGTTCGTAAGTTGATATCGTCAAAAATTTAGCCCTGTGGTCAGTCCTGCCCAATACTCGTAAGCAGGACTAAACCCTAAGTTTGGTCCTGTCCAACAATGGGCAAACGTCTCGTAGCCCTGTTTTTGGTCTTGCCTCACTATAGAAGAAAACAATGGCATTCCTGCCCTTCAGAAATGCCAGGACCTCAGGCAGGCATACTATACATGCCTCAGGTCCTGCTCATTCATGAAGGCAGGACCTAGACTTTGGAAGCCCTATGTTTCGGTATAATTTGTTGATTTTCTGCGCCGTGGTCAAAGGTCACAAAGAATTTTCACTCAAGCCATAGTCAGGCTTTCCTTGGGAAAAATAACTATTTTGATATCATGGATTAAACTAACTGTAACGAAGACATCATGATTCTGCTGATAGAAGCTTCGGCCCTACACTGTCGTCACTTGATTTATACAAGAATCGATCGTTTCAAGACGAGTGGTACTTATGGAAATCAAATTCTTCAGGGTCGTTCTGTTGGTCCTATTTGCTGTTCAAGTCAGGAATATCACAGACATCGCGAGAAACCTGACATTCATATAGTTTTCTTTTAGACTGCAGAGAGCAAAGGAAGTCATATTCAAAGGCCTATTATAAACAGTAGAAAAAGTTTGCCGCCGCTGCCGAGAAAGAACCTTCGTTTTTTTGTACCAGGATAATTCAAATGGATGAGAGATGGAGTGTGCACGAAAAAAGGACTTGTTTAAATTTAATTTCAGCAGTTCGTCATCCTGCCTTAACAGGAACTACCATACAATTCAGAGTTTCCCATGGAAAGGACGCCTGCTTAAACAATGGTAATTACTGGGAGCTTTTGTACTCGGTGACTCAGATTGTATTGTACTGGCAAAATGTCAGGGGTCTCCTCTGTTATTCAAAACAAATTGATTCAAGACCCTATCTACCGTGCATCAGACCTATCCATGTTGTGACAAACTATTTTTACTTTTTTTAAATAATTTGAATCAATAATGTTTCCAGTATGTATAACAACTGTATATGCCTATCTGTACAAGCAATTTCTTTTTAGTCAATGATTTCAAAATTTTCAATCAACGAAAACATTTTCAAATTTAACTTATTTTAGAAAGAATTTTTGTGATGCTCTTTTGACGGCTTCAATGTAAGGCAAGAGGAACTTGAAAGGATCCGAACCCTCATCGCCTTTTTTCCAAAATGTGGCAATTTTTTTGCGGTACAGAATTTGAAAATGGCTTTGAAAAAATCAAACATTTTACGATATACTAAAAGCTTTTTCGTCTGACACTCCTCAGAGCATAAAACGTCAGAATAGGTTCCGAAAAAACACGATGAAAAATATATACCCAGTTGTGGATCGAAATAGGCCAATCAGAAAAACGCAAGCACAAGACCGGTATAGTTGACCAATCAGTGCCGCGAGCCTAAAGAAAAATTACCAATGGGGTCCAAGAGAGAAAACGAGCTCCTTCTGTCTACACAATGGCGGTTTTTTCGTTTGTATGTAGATCGATTCAAAAACTGCTAGATGAAAAGACGACCGGGCTCTGCCATTTATACGAAACATGTCGTCATTATAGAGTTTAGCACAATCTGGGTTGTCTAAAAGATGTCCGATGGCAGAATCACTTGCTTTAACAGTGTTTCTAAACCTACATTGAATATTGTTCGTATTTGATAGCTATTGAATATTGTTCGCATTAGATAGCTATTGAATATTGTTCGCATTAGATAGCTATTGAATATTGTTCGTATTAGATAGCTATTGAATATTGTTCGTATTAGATAGCTATTGAATATTGTTCGTATTGGATAGCTATTGAATATTGTTCGTATTGGATAGCTATTGAATATTGTTCGCATTAGATAGCTATTGAATATTGTTCGTATTGGATAGCTATTGAATATTTTTCGCATTAGATAGCTATTGAATATTGTTCGTATTGGATAGCTATTGAATATTGTTCGTATTAGATAGCTAAGGAATATTGTTCGTATTAGATAGCTATTGAATATTGTTTGTATTGGATAGCTATTGAATATTGTTCGCATTAGATAGCTATTGAATATTGTCCGTATTAGATAGCTATTGAATATTGTTCGTATTGGATAGCTATTGAATATTGTTCGTATTAGATAGCTATTGAATATTGTTCGCATTAGATAGCTATTGAATATTGTTCGTATTTGATAGCTATTGAATATTGTTCGCATTAGATAGCTATTGAATATTGTTCGTATTGGATAGCTATTGAATATTGTTCGCATTAGATAGCTATTGAGTATTGTTCGTATTGGATAGCTATTGAATATT